CCCCCCCCGCCCCACCCAGTGCCCCCAGCCATGACCCGCAACCCCCCAGCCCTGCCAGAGGGGGCCCCTACCCCCTGCAAGCCCCACTTACCTCACAGCTGAGCTGTGGCTGACTGAGAGCCTCCGGCCCCGCCATTCCCCCTCTTCCTCTGGGCAGGGCTGGGGGTTTCTCGCCCCTTTTGCAGTCAGCTCTTGCAAGCAGGATCTCTGCTGGCCTGCAGAGCTTGTTGCAAAAGGGAGAAATCTGCAAGTTTCTCTGTTTTTTCTTTTTTTTTCCATGGGAAATAGAAAACCCGGATCCTTGGTCATCTCTGACCTCGGTCTGACAAGGCCAATGCTGGATCAACAGGTTTTATTGTGGGTGCTCTGGTTTCCTGATTCAGTCCATGACATGCTATTTCTGCCACTTCTGCTTTTCTGTCTCCTGTTGTCATCATGACATTTCAGAGTGTTGAGATTCTTGCAGCAAACTCTTCCTGCATTCAGGGCAGCCCTGGGCAAAAGTCTCCCATGAGTTGATGTCAGTGTTGCAATTTTTCATGTTGGCCTTGAGGATATCTTTGAAGAGCTTTCTCTGCCCTCTTCTTGAGCATACACCTTGAATGAGCTGGGAGAATAACACTTGCTTTGGGAGTCTGGAGTTGGACATCTGGATGGTATGGTCTGCCCAGCACAGTTCATGTTGGATGATCATTGCCTCAATGCTCATGGTGTTTGCTTGTGAGAGGATGCTAATGTTGGTGCATGTGTCTTCCCATTGGATTTGATGGATCATTTGCAGGCAGCATTTATGGTACTTTGCCAGCAACTTTAGGTGTCTCCTGTACATTGTCCACATCTTGGCTTCATACAGTAAAGTGGGGATTACAACTGCTTAATAAACCATGATCTTGGTTTTGAATCTGATGTTTCAGTCTTCAAACACCTGGTCTCTCAGGTGTCCAAAAGCTGCACTTGCACATTTGAGGCATGTTGGATTTCTTTATAGATGTCAGCCTTCTGTGAGAGACGGCTTCTGAGATACGGGAAATACTCAACATTCGCTAGAGTCTCACCATGAACCTGAATTACTGGAGCGCTGGGGACTGCTCATTAAGAGCTTGTTGATGGAGGACCTTAATTCTTGTGAATGTTAAGTGCCGGTCTCATTTTCTTGTATGCCTTGGTAAAGATGTCAACGATTATCAGTGTACTAGAACGTGATGGTGGAGGTCAGGGTGGTCTTGGTTTTGGCTTGCAGTCAGCTGAGATTAAACAGTTTACCATCCATTTGGTAGTTTAGCTCCCCTCCAGCTGGAAGCTGGCTGGTGATCAGATTAAGAGTTGCAGTAAGGAATATCAAGAGGCATGTTGGAGTGATGACACAGCCTTGCTTAACTCTCGTCTTAACCTAAATAGATCTGCTACTGAGAACACCGCTCACATACTGTCATGGAGCCAGCAAAGAATGGTGACAAATTTTCGTGGGCATCCGTACTTCGGAAGGATCCTCCACAGCGCTTCTCGGTTGAGAGTCGAAGGCTCTCATGAGGTCAAAGAAGGCCATGTGGAGAGGTTTGTTATTCCCAGCATTTTTCCCGCAGCTGGTGAGCAGTGAAGATCATGTCAGTGGTCTCTTGATGCCCTAAACCACGCTGAGACCCCAGGAACAGCTCTTCAGCAAGTGGAAGGAGAGAGTTCAGGAGAGTTCTTGCAATGCAAGAGTTCTCTCCTGTGGTGGACAGCAAAGTGATCCCTCTGTCATTTCCACAGTCAAGACTTGTCTCCTTGAAGTTTGTCATGGTGTTTCGTATAGACTAACTAGAGATATATATAGATAGCATAAGGTTTTGTAAGTAGTAGGTTTACTTCATCAGATGCTGTGAGGGGACTGAAAGCCAGCAGTTAGCATAAAACTTCTTTCCCTTGAAAGGCTTTCTGCTTCTCAGAAAATTAAAGTGCTCCACCTTGTGGTAAATGTGAAGAATCAAGAGAATTCTAAGAAATACTTTAATATCTAAACTTACTATAAAGATTTCCTTATTCGCTCGCAACTTTGCCATGGGTAACTTGTGAAACAGAGAACTTTATTCATCTGTAAAATTCCTTCTGTTTGAAGGACATTGCTAAAAGCCATGATCAAGCTCTCTCCCCCCCCCC